CCCCCCTAGACCGCCCCGACAGAAAACCGCTCGCGTACGCGCTCGTGCAGGGCGTGCGCTGCCCGGGGGACGCGGAGATGGCGTGGCTCGGCGCGTGCATGGCGGGCGCGGACGGGTGGGTGAATGTTTGTGTGGGCGTGGAGGGGGCGTAGGGTGGTGCGGGTGGGTGGGGTCATGCGGGCGGGGGAAAGGGGAACGGGAGATGCGGGCGGGGGAAGGGGGATGCGGGCGAGGGAAGGGGAGATGGAGATCCGGGCGGGGGAAGGGGAGATGGAGATGGGGAAGGGAGGGGAGATCGCTGTGCTACTAGACCCGGGATGATGCGTCTGCGACTGTTTGTAAGCTATCACTCCAGTAACATGGGCGGCGGCGCCGACGCCCGGAAGACTTGCTGCGGGCGGAGCGGGAGCGTCAAGGCAATGCAGTGACGTTGACATTGCGAGTCAGAGTAAAAAACAGTAAAAGTAAAAGCAAGAGACGAATGGGACGAGAGAGAAATATCCAAACATGTATATACAATTAGCCTACGATACTTGTTTCGCCAAACGACTCGTACACACAACGTGCATTCCAGCAATCGTTCGTCATTCATGCATCGACCATTTCATACCACGCCCCACGGCGACGTGTATGCGCCCGCGTCTACCCGCTGCCGACGAGCGGGGCGCGCTCGGGGTCCTCGAGGCTGACGCCGCCGCCGCGGGCGCGGCGGACGCGCGCGCCGACGCCCCAGGCGCCCTTGAGGACCCAGAAGAGGGCGAGGACGGCAAAGGCGAGGGCGGAAAAGTGGATGAATTTGCCTGGGGCGGGGTCAATATTGCGAGGGAGGGGAGGGGAAGAGAAATACGCACCGGCGGCGGGGGCGGACTGGTGGGCGAAGATGGCCCAGAGGGACCAGGCGACGGCGATGGAGGCGGGGAGGTCGCCCTCGGGGGAGGAGAAGGCGTAGGTGGCGGCGGTGCCCTCGAGGAAGAAGCTAGGCAGGGACGGTCAGGGAGGATCACCGTAAAGATGGCAGATGGGCACGCACAGGGCGAGGAAGACAAAGAGCTTTGTCCAGACGCCGGGGGCGTGGGTGAGGGCGTTGAGGCCAAAGGCCTGGAAGGCGGAGAGGACGACGAGGACGGTTGTCCAGCCGTGGTAGAGCGAGAAGGGGAGGTGGACGAAGAGCTCGTCGGGGATGCTCTGGGGCGCGTGGTACTTTTTGACGATGTAGTAGATGTGGGTGACGGCGCTGCTGACGAAGAGGGCGAGGACGAAGGCGAGGACGTAGTGGGCGCGGGCGCAGAGGTTGACGTAGACGGCGTTGAGGAGGGCGAGGAGCGGGAGGCGCCAGCCGATGGCGTCGACGATGACGGGTTTGCCGCCGCTGAAGAATTGGTAGACTATGGTGCCGAGGAGGAGGAGGTGGATGAGGGACCAGATGCCAAAGGCCCAGGGCGCGGGGGTGAGATAGGTTTCTTTGCCGGACAAGTACGGCCCGCTGGGCTGGGCGACGGCGTAGACGTTGGAGCCGAGGAAGAGGATGTAGACGAGTACATTGACGATCTGCGGGGAGGGTTAGTAGACTGACCAGGTGGACTGGAACGAACAGACCTTGAGGAGGATGCCGTCTTTCCACGAGTCTGCCATGGCTGCGTTGCGAGGGCGGGACGAGGGTTTCGTCGCGGCTGGGCTGGCTTTTGTATGGACGAGGGTCGCGCGCAGCCGGTGACGCCATGGCACGTGACGTCATCGTGGGTGGAATCTGGGCTCCCATTGGCTGGGCGCTGCTCGTGGCCGTCAATGACCGCGCTTCGCTCCATGCTCGTCGCGTGCTCTCGTCGCAGCAAAGCCCTTCCGCAGTCCTTCCTGACGCTCTCTCCGCCGCCCGCTATCGCTCTACCGCTCTCCTGTCTAGTCTCTCCCCGGCCTGCTCTACGCATCCATCCGGTGGCCTGGCGAGGAACTCTTTGGGTTACTCCACGCGTGTTCGGCGCCGTTATAGCAGGACTCTGCGTGTCAGGGGAACCGTATAGACTCGAACTTCTCGCCGTGCCCCCCGCCTGTCTGCCTCTGGCCATCGAGTCGGTACCCTGTCGTGCAGGTCCTGCTGATCTTCTGTGCGCGCTGATTCAGGTGCAGCGCGTCTCTGATAGGACGCGCTTTTGCCTTCTGCGACGGTCCATCTGATTCCGGTCGTCGTCTTCGATGCGTACTCCCTAGGAAGCTCGCCGTGCCTGTGCCTCTCGGTTCTCATTCTTGTTCTTTTCTCATCTATCCCAACTCAATGTGGCGATCCGTCTGCGTACGACGGTGGGCTTCCTCGCTTTTGTTGGTACAGCTGGTAGTTGCACGTCATATATATTCAACGCATGCTTGGGTTGTGATGGAGGGCCGCCGCCGCTACTTGTACTGGTGTAACTAATCGAATCGTGTCCTGAACCACGGACAATCCCTCTTCTCAACACTTCGTATACACTTTCGTAACGAATACAAAATCATGGACGCGTCAGTGCTGCTTCTTGGACTCCGCATCGATCACGCTTTGCACTCCTGCTTGTGCCGCTTTTTCCAATCCGCTTTCTGGCAGGCAGCGGAGCAGTACTTTGCCGCCTTGCACCGGCCGCAGACGAGCAACTTTGGTGTTCCGGATCCACCGCACGCATCGCAGGTCTGCGCGTACGCGTGCTTGCCAGCCTCCTGCATGGACGAAGCCACCGGCTCCACGTAGGACACGGCGAACAGCGGGCCTAGCGCAGCCCGCGTCGCGAACGGGCGCAGATGCGTCCACCAGGGCATCGTATCCAGGTTTGTGAACGAGTCAAAGGTGACGCCCCGCCCACACGTACAGAGGCACGGTCCGTCGAGCGCGGTCGAGATCGGGATTGTCGTTTGCGCAGAGGACCCTGAGGGGCCGTCGTACTCGCAGGTGGGTTTGTGCGCCCAAGTTCGACAGCGCTCGACCGCGGCGGGGAGCATCTTTCGCCACGCCTCGGCCTCCACCCTACCAGTGGTGACCTTGGAGAGGTTGCCTTGCCCATGTCTCATGAGGACCTGCAGACCCGGCTCAATGTGGGGAAAGAGGTTCGTTTCCAACGGGATGACTGCTGCGTCGGCGACGACCGTGAACGCGGCGAGATCGAGGCGCAGCTTATCCACGAAGAGGAGGGTGTGGATGTCCACCTCGTCGGGCTCGGAGAGAGCGAATGCGCGGATGCAAGTGCCGCCTTGGAGGCCCGTGAAGAGCATGAGCAGAGCATGCATGGAGTCCTTGACGTTCATGAGCGCGTCGTCCTTGCCGGTCTTGGTCGCCCGCATGGTACGCTCGCGGTCGGACATTTGGAGAGCCGCGTGGACGCTGAGCCAGTCCATCTGGTAGCCCGGATGGATGTGGAGAGCAGGGAGGATATCGAGGTTGACTGTGTGTACGCCCCATGTCCTGAGCGACGGACTAGAGATCACCGGGAACGGGTTGATGAGATAGCCGCGGGGAGCCAGTGCGCCTGAAGGAGGCACTATAACCTGGGCGGAGGAAGAATCTATACTGCCGTACTTCTTGCACGGACGCAGCTATGACTCACCTCCACATAATGAGATTTCCTTGCAATGCGTAACTTGCGCTGATCCCCTATGATAGGGAACGGATAGGAAAGTGTATGCTGAAATCTTCCAACCGACACTCGCATGGTACACGGCCCAATCTGTTCCGCGGATACGGCAGCCGCTTGCGATAGAGCAGCCTTTGCCTCTTCGTCACGGAAATCCAGTCGCCCGCAGAACGTAGAAATCCGATTGTTTTCCAAGTTGACACCAACAGCGACGTTATCCAAAGATTTTAGTTCGACATGGGCCACTTCTCCCCCCTCGATGGGAAGTTCGGCGGAGATGGTAGGATTCTTACGCTTTCCTTATCCATCATGCTAGCCGTGTACAGCGATAGGTATGGACCCAGCTCGCGCGAGAACTGCCTGGAGATTCGGGGAGTGCTCTGGATGTTAAGACTGACCTTTGACCGGTGGAAGGTGAGGAGCCACGCCGGGATCCAGCATGAGAAGACAAGTGACGGCGCGTCACGGAAATCACCCGCTGCCTCCGACAGGACTGGAGGGTCGACCGAAGCATCTACTCGTCCAGGTGCAGCGTGGATAGAGGCGAACGCATTCTGGTGACCTTCTCCGGTGTCAATGTGTATTTGCAACCTAGGTGAAGTCATTAGAGTCCGCCCACGAAACGGGCGTAAGGCGCGATGGGGTACGGTCAATGTGAGATAGACGACGGGAGGGATGAGATCCCAGTGTCGGAAGATCTCTCGTGGGGGCGGTGTCACTCCAGGAAAGTCGGCCCAGTCGGGTTTCAGCATGTTAGTACTATATACACCCTGCATATGCAGCTGGAGGCATAGATCCTGGATGAAATTCATGCCCACAATACGGCTTGCATCCCTTTGGATCTTGATTATGAAGAGATCTACCGCTTTCTCCCAATCGCTGTCCGGATATGCAATCCGACGTTGGACATGCTTGAGCAGAGAGGCGAACGTTCTCCGGTTGTAGAGAATGTTTTCTTGCACCTCCAAATCAGCCTCCGTTCTTTGAGTACCACGACCACTCAAAACGCGAGATAGGTCTGCGAGGTCGACGTGCTCAAAGTCCAGGATCTTATCGTATAAGTCAAAGAGGAGGCCCGCGACTTCGTCAACGTTGGAGGCAATACGTGTGAATATCGGCTCCTCGACAAGGCCATCACCGTCCGTAGATCGAACCCAAGAGACGCGTTCATGATATTGTTTACCTTTGGAGATGCTATTGTGCAGGAGTTCGTGACCATACGAATTGGCTTGATAACCAGTTAAGAGAGGACGAGGCACGATGCCAAGTAAAACTGCCATAACCTGGGGGTCTCCGCATATCCGGTCAACAAATGAAGTTGCAGCATTCTCGCCTAGTGGCAGCAGAGTCTCGGTATACATGATGGAGCTGCGGCTGGGCTGCTTCTTCAGCAGAGGTTCGCCAGCGAGCAGGATGTTGACCAGCCCGAGGTGATCTGTCAGATTTGACGTATCGATTACGTCGAAGGATGTGGGACAGTCGGTAGCGGTGAGTTGGTCAAGGGTGACTGGACGGCTGCGCCATTGACATGCGTAGAACGGGGCAAGATGATCGCCCGTTGTCGAGACGTACGATAATCCGGAGCAAAAGGCGAGGGCATCACCTGCATAGAATCGGATCACAACCGATGGATTACCTTGAGCACTCAGGACACCTCGGAAACGAGCACACCATGTCCTGAACTCATCTCTGGCGGTGTGAACAACCCTCTCAGTCGAGCCGACGGGGGCAGAAAGAGATGGGTTGGGAGCGAACGCGGCGGCGAGATGGAAGGATTGTAGTGGGAATGTGCCGTAGTGAGGTGCAAACTTCTCGCCATCCACGGAGTAGACGAAGGAGGGGTTCATGAGCGTTGCGGAGCGCAGCTCGTCGGCGTTCTGGAAAGTCGTACCCGTCTTCCAGAACTGGGAGAAAAGGTCCGACACCGCGGGTACAGCCTGCAGTGCCAACGGCGCGGCTGAACGCGAAGCTCCCCAGTTGGTTGAATACTTGTCATTGTTGTCGACTCCCAATTCCTTGAACTGTTTCCGGAACAGCACTTCCTTGCTCGAGTCGATGTGTTGGAACTTTACGTACGAGCGCCAGTACTCTCGAACTTCCGCCAGTGTATTGGTATCCAACACTTTCAGCCAAGAGCCGTACTTGCTCTGGTGCCATTCCTCAGCAGTATTCGAGCAAGCAAGAAGTGCTTCGCAGTAACGGACGAGGATGGCCGAGGACGTTTTGTCAAACAAAAAGTGGTAATATATATTCCAAATACTGTCGGTAGGCTCGTTCTCCACAACAAGAACATAGAGCAAGATGTTGCGCGCTGTCGGGGCTGCGTCAATGACACCTGATGAGTGACGTACACCAGAGCAAACCTAGTATGGCTGGCTGATAATCGCAGCAGGTGAAATCAAGCTGGCGCGGACCTAGTTTGAACATCGGGCAATCAGCATCATTTTGCGCAGGCACATAGATCGCACTACTCACCCGCTGGGGAGGGCAGATCCGCATAGACTGTATACAGCACGTTCCGCACATCACCACACCCAAGGAGAAGCACATCAGCCGGCCGCCCAGGCGGGAGGTCCTGCGTGAGGCAGACGGCGGCAGTGTTCCCGATGGGATAGAAGAATATCCTGGTCGGCCAGTATAGAGGAGCGCTAGCAGACATGGTGGGATAGAAAAAGGCGGGGAGGGGAGACTCTGATGAGATGTTGGAGCGTATATAACGTCGACCCACGTTGAGACAACGAGGTTCGACGAAAATAGGTCTTGAACAAGCGCCCAGCAAGTTCACCAGAATACGTATTACTGTATAATGGCACGCTCCTACCCAGCGATCGTTTCGGGCTCACTATTATTAGGGCAAAGGACGCCATGTGAGAAACACGAGCAACTACTTGATTTAGACGTCGCGTATCACATGCTTATGTAAACTTCTATGAACCTTATTTTTTGTGAGCCCTCCACGACCGCTGGCAGATAACACATGTAAACAAACGCCACCGTTATGAGTGACATACCTTTCCGGTGAGGACGCACGCGATCAGCCTCGACACAAATGGACTGGCGTGCATGACCGAACGCGTCGCGTCGAGTCGTGTTGGTGCGCTGAGTCTTCGTTTTGCTGCACTAAGGCTCCGCGGATGCCATCTGATGCGGCGGACGATGTTCCTTCTCTCAGCCAGATACGCGCTGCCATCTCCGAAAAATTCGGCTATCGCGCGTGCCTCTGGCAGCTACAAGTCGTCCAAGCACTTCTTCGAGGAGACAAAGATGTGGTTTGCATTGCGGGTACCGGT